AAAAAGCTAGGATTAGCCCACTAGCTCATATGAACATATGAGCCCAATAGCCCAGATTGAATCTGGGCCGATCTGAAGATCACGGATGTCTGGTAGCGTTTGAATTTTAGTTGTTTTTTCTACAAATGAAAATCACTTGAAATTTCAAGTGATTTGGATTTGTAGAACTAGTGGGCTAATCTCAGCTTTTTCCAATATATGATATTGTTGCTTGTCGTGTACATGTGTCTCGCAATGTCGTTTTTCTAGAAATCCTGTTTTATTATTTTTCAATTGCGAAATCAATAGGGTCATATGCTCCTTATTACCAAATTTCTCTTATGACAGTTCCACTAATAAAACATCGCAGCACTGGGTGCATCAACAATAGGGTAAATGAAACCAATCTACGTCTCCTTCAACTCTACAACCAGAGCAAGGTCAAACTTTCACATTGCCTGTAAGTGATTGTCTTCCTTCTTCCTTTTCTCATAACCATGTTCTTCTAATAGCTCTACCCAATTATGACGTTCTTCACATGTAATTCATCCACCTGACCGATATAACCCTGATGATTTTGACTTCTCACTGCACCTAGATCTTTATTTTTATTATTGATATTCCTCCCAACCACCTGGATCTTTATTTATTTCCTAGATCATTGTTTTCCCTTTTAGATTCAGTTGATATTCGTTCCAACTACCAGCAAGCACTACTATGCTATGTTGGAAGGAGGTCATGGAAGCAGATATAAGTGCTTACCCTCCGAATACATTTATTATTGGAAGTAAATAGGTCTTTTTTATGAAGCTTAAATCTAATGGAGGGATTGTGTGATATAAAGCATGATTAGTTGCTCAAAATTACAAGTAGGTATATGGCATAGACCACGAAGAAATATTTACTCCAAGTTCTAAAATGACGATTTAGACCTCTTAGCTATTAGATAGTGGATTATCTCTCATATGGAAGCATGGCTTGAATGGTTTCAACTGGTCATTCGTGATACTAGATTCACAAAAAATGCTCATGACTATTCATTATTTACCCAGCATTGTTCCCCAGGGATAATAATTCCTCTCACAGGAGACAATTTTGACAATATCCAACACTTAAAAGAGCGTCTCAATCACTTATTCAAAATGAAATATTTGGATCCGCTGACTTACGTTCTTGATCTAGAGATTCATTACTCCCCTGATGGATATATAACTAACTAAATGCAGTACATCAAATATTTGATCTAGCTGGCCAACTTAACTGATGATAAATGAGTTGATACACTAATGGAGGTAAATATAAACTATAGAAAGGATGATGGGGATGATCTTTTAGATCCCACCCTTTATATACAACTGGTTGGCAGTCGATTTTGTCTCACTATGACTCGTCTCATATATCACACGCAAACTGGGTAGGATGCCCAAATACTCGATGCTTGATGCTCAAGCACTTGATCATGTGTATTTCTCGGAGACTCTCTCAAATCATAGAAATATAAGAAACAACATATTATGTCGAAATCTTTTATAAAAGTCGAATACCAAGCCATGTCCTTTTCTTATAGTGAAATCAATTGGTTGAGAGGTCTCTTACATAACCTGAATATTCTTCGTCGATCTCATTTTCCATTGTGTGCTGATAATATGAGCATCATATCCAATGTGCCATGAGCGCACAAAGCATATCAAAGTTGATTGAGAAGCTACCCTCCGACATATTGCCTCACAACAATAAGTTGCATATATTTTTACCAAGTTATTGACTCAATCTTGTCATGTCTATCTCATTGACAAACTAATGTTGTTCAACTAGCCTTAGTTTGAGGGGGACTGTAGAGATCGTTGAAGATCTTGCAGTTACTTTGTGTATCATATCATATACAGAAAGTGTAATATTTATTATAGGGAAAATTTTATATAGAGCCGAGGTTTTAAACAATCAAATTAGAGCAAAATATTCACTAGAAGAGGTTGTTTTGATGCCCAAAAATCCTCAAATTGATCATCTCGACATCAAGATCCATGGACATGAGAAAAAATGTAATTTAAGTTTTGGAAATAGTGTATTTAGTAATGCATTTTTACACCGTTAATTTTCAATATTTTCAAGTTTTTATAGATTTGTCGATCTACACTATTTTTTAAGCTTTAAACTTTATAAATAAAGATGAAAATATATTTTAAGGCTATCCTAAAGATTTCCAGTATTAAAACAGGTTCTAATTTTTTTGTTTAGAGCCTAGGCTCTATACAAACCACACCCTTTAATATATATATATATATATATATATAGGAAAAAAACTTAGATGAGCCTACTAGCTCACAAGAAAAAATGAACCCAACGGCCCAGATTGAATCTGAGCTTATTTGACGATCACGGATGTCTAGTAGTGTTTGAATTTTAAGTTTTTTTTTACAAATCCAAATCACTTAAAATTTTAGGCGTATGTTCTTCTCATCAAGCCGCACCTAATAAAAATATAAACAAAATAATTTGTGAAATAAAAATTGACAAAAATACCCTCAAAATGTTTCAGAGGTATTTTGGTCAATTTATTTCATGTAAAATATTGTTTTGATATTTTTCAAAGATTCACTCTTTCTTATGTACATACGCTCCAAATTTCAAGTGATTTTGAATTGTAGAAAAAAAAATTAAAATTCAAACACTAGTAGACATCTGTGATCGTCAGATCGGCTCAGATTCAATCTGGGCTGTTGGGCTCATTTTTCCTGTGAGCTAGTGGGCTCACCCAATTTTTTGTTGGGCTCATTTTTTCCTGTGAGCTAGTAGGCTCACCCTAGCATCTTCCATATATATATATATATATATATATATATATAAGATGGGATTAGCCCACTAGCTCATATAAACATATGAGCCCAACAACCCAGATTGACTTTGGATCGATCTGACCATCACGGATGTCCGATAGTGCTTTATTTTCTACAGATCCAAATCACTTGAAATTTTAGATGTATATTTTTCTCATCAAGACGTACCTAATAAAAATATAAAACAAATTATTAGTAAAAAATAAAATGACCAAAATACCCCTAAATCTTTCGGGGGTATTTTGGTCATTTTATTTCATGTAAAATATGTTTTTGATATTTTTTGAATATTTATCTATTTTTTATGAACACACGCTTAAAATTTTATGTGATTTGGATTTGTAGAAAGAAAAACAAAAAATTCAAATACCACCAAATATCCGTGATCGTTAGATCGGCCCAGACTTTAGGCTCATATGTTCATATGAGCTAGTGGGCTAATCCCATCTTTTTCATATATATATATATATATGTATAACCACAATTTTGGTAAGTCAACTGTCGCACCTATTGTTTGTCCGGTCCCTTAAGCATTAAACATCCATATCTAAGATGGACCTAAAAAATAGTACATTCACAAAAAGTTAAAATGGGTGGCAGAGAAAACAACTTAAAATATACCATTTATAATTTTTTTAAAAAGGAAAGACATTCCATATTCACAATCATTATGATCATGGTTGAGATTAGCACATCCTAAAAGTTTAGTTCAAAATTCTTTGGCATGATCTTGGACGGGGACCACACAACAATAGGTGCATCGGGCCACTCACAACTTCAGGGCCGAGGTTTTATGTAAAAATAAGTAGAGTTTCATTTTGAATCCTTCTCCAGAAAGCACTTTGGGCATCGGATATCTTTAAGATGGCTATAATATCAATCTCAACACCATCTATGAGATTCGAGGTTAAAGAAAAGCTTAAATATTGCAAATCTGTAAGCATTTGAAAAATTGGTGGTCCAGATAATGGTTAGAATACACACTTTTCAGGGTTTGATATCTGATTATTTTTCACAACCACAATAGTTAAGGTTGAGAGGGTCAATTTGAAGGTTTTTAGACACCGAAACTTCAATTTTTCGATTAGTTTTAAAGTGTTTCTCATAAGGCCTAGGCCTTTCATTATAATACAATGACATAGTCACATCAAATTACTTCATATATATATGAGAAGGGATCCTATCAGCCCCCAGGCTATCAGCCAATGGCCCAAATTCAATCTGGGCCTATTCCAATGGTCATGACCTCATTTCGTATACTAATTTTTTTTCTTTTTATACAAATCCAAATCATTTGAAATTTTGAGCCTATATTTTTCAAAATTACAAGAACCGAATAAAAATTTTAAAAAAAGTAATTTATAAAATATATATTAATCAAAATATATTTGAAACTTTTCGAGGGTATTTTGGTCAATTTTTGTTTTGTGAATTATGTTTATATTTTTATTAGGTGCACCTTGATGAAGAAAATGAACACCTAAAATTTCAATTGATTTACTTTGTAGAAAAAAGAAAATTCAAATACAAAATGAGACTGTAACTGCTAGATTGGCCCAGATTGAATCTGTACCATTGTTTGACAAGATCCATTTCATATATATATATATATATATATAGAGAGAGAAGAAAAGTCTTCCCAACACCTATAAGCGATAAAGAACAGTGTTTTTGCCTCCTCATATCTGTTGAAATTAAATAAAACGTAGGGCACTGATTCACTTTAAAACCCCTCGCACACGAAAGCCCTGATTGGCTGAAATGCTTCAAGCGCCTACAAATTTCAGCCATACCCCCTCCTCCTGCGTGCTCTGCGATTCTCTGTGAATCAGAAGCTTCATTGAGAAGCTCCCTCTCTCTCGCTTGCCCTCGTCTCTTCGGGCAACTATAGATGCTTTGCATCCTCTCTCTCTAGCTCCCTCTCTCTCGCTTGCCCTCGTCTCTTCGGGCAACTATAGATGCTTTGCATCCTCTCTCTCTAGCTCCCTCTCTCTCTCTTGCCCTCGTCTCTTCGGGCAACTATAGATGCTTTGCATCCTCTCTCTCTCTAAATTTCAGCTGCTCTCCCTCCTCATTCGCTCTTGTCAGCTCACTGTGGTTGCAAGCATCTCAAGAAGGCAGCACACTGAGAAAACCCCAACCCAAGATGACTCAGAACTAGGCACCGAAATCAGTAAGTAACAAACAATTTCTTCAATTTATAGTACGTAAATCACAAAAAAAAATCCTAACTTTGATTTGGAAATTTAGTTTTTTGAGTAAAACTCTAAAAATTCCTGCTGAAATTTCTTTTCATGTTTTCCTCAGCATATATGGTTAGTTTGTCGTTTTTGTAAATCAATAAATAAATTTGTAAATAAAAAACTATGAAAAAATCACATACCAAAATGGACAAAGATTATAATAACTAAAAAAAAGATTCTCATATCACTTATTTTCTATTACTTATTTACCCCCGAATTTCTATATTGTTGAAATGTTTGATTTATAGTCTCTAAATCACCGTAAAAAACATAACTTTGAGTTCGAAACTTTATTTTTCGAGTAACAAAAAGAAAAATCCCTACTGAAATTTGAGTTCATATATGGGTTTTTTTTTTGTAAATTAATGAATAAATTTGTAAATAAAAAATTATGACAAAATCACATACCAAAATGGACAACTATGATAATAACCAAAAAAAAAAAGATTACTTATTTTTTATTTTTTATTTTTTATTTTTTATTTTACCCCAAATATTTGAAATTCTATGTTTTTTGAAATTCGGAAGTATTAACTTATTGCTATTTGTTAGTTCCATCAAGATGTTGAGAATCATATTTGCTTGCACTATTTGTAGCTAGTTCTTTTTGTTTTGTATGATCCATTTCAATGGAACTTTGAACCTTGAATCAAGATCAGTGTTTGTAAAATCGAACCGGAACGGTTAACCGGACATGAGCCTGAAAGGGTTTAACCGACCTAACCGATAAACCAGCCGATTCAACCGCTCTGACAGAGTAAGTCCCAAACGGCCAAAAAAGTGTTGAAAAAAAAATATAAAAAAAAATCTACTACAATATGAAAAACATATAAAGAATGATTAAAACAAAATACATTCAAATGAAATTGAAAATTAATGGAAAAAATGGATTTAAACCCATTTTATATTTTCCAAGGGCTCTTTTTTAAATTTTCTAAAAAGTATCAGAAAATATAAAAGTGAGTATTAATGACCAAAAAAAAATTTAATCTTGACCATAATGTAAAGAATATTTAAATATATTACAAATGAAATTCCTTATTTTTGAGAATTTATATACATTTTTTTAATTTTTTTTTTTTAAAATACCGGTTGATCACCCTAACCGGCCAAAACAAAAACTAACCAGTTCCAATCTAACTGAGAGGTTAGCGGTTAGATCGGACGATTTGCAAACAATGGTTTGGATATGATATGAAAAAGTGAAGTGGTTGTTACTATGTCATCTTTTGAAGTTTATAGTCTTATCATACATATGGTTGACACAATTTTTCTGGATTTTGAGAATGAACAATGGTTCTCGTTTTTTTTTTTTTTTTTTTGGAGTATTTGTATTTGATATTTTTAATTTATAGAATCCATGAGGGAATTTTTTTTTTTTTGAAGTATGACTTTTCTATCATATTTATATTTTCTCCCATTTGCTTCTCATTGTTCACCATATAAACTGAACAGGTATACTATAAGCATGTCATGGATGCCTCAACATCAACATCTCCTTCCTCTCTTATCAACATTACTAGTTCAAAAAATGGGCACGAATGTAGTGCTCTGGCTGTAGTAGATGAAGCTTATCATGATTCTTCATTTGATGAGGTTATAGTTGCAATAGATGGAGAAGGAGATCCGATACTTATAAATGCAGAGGCAGCTCTAGCAAGAATAAAAAAATTCAACCCTAAATCAAGAATAAACCAATTTTTTTTCCAATTGCATGGTTACATTTGCTTATGGCTTCTATTGCTAAAAACAAGTGATATTTCTTTATTTTCTTGTTCTCAGCTAGTGGACAGATCCAGAGAGGATTGACAATGCAGACCGCATCATAGCTATGGCGGAGACACTCAAAGAATATCTTGGGTTCGACCCCTAAAGGTAGTACTGCTCTCACTTTAGAACTTTCACATTTGCCGTACATTGCATTTGTGGCATGGTATTGATTTGAATAGTTAATTTGTTGGTATAGATGTCTTCAATGTTCTTCAGTTTACTTAAACAAACACTTCATTCACATTCATTGAAACAGTCTTTCATCACGTCACAATTCACAATTACAGTCATAAAATTTACAAAAGAGATCATAACTAGGATTATGTTTCAATCTCATGGAAAAAGGAATGGTTAATTAGTTTTGAGCTAATTTTGAGATGAGAATTTATTTTCCTGAATGTTTCTTTGACCTACACATGATCCCCCTTTAACAGGAAAACTTTGCGAAGCACCAGTTCTTGCATTGCCCTGCAGCAACCACTAGGTAAGCAGATTGATCATCTTCTCTTAATTGCTTCTCTTCCATGGATTGATATTTTATGTGATTTACAAAACAAGGTCGTTTTATCTTTGATTTTGCAGTATCAAAATGGGGTTAATTTGCCCTTAGGTATCAGTAGTGATCAGCAAACTTAACCTCTTTCTTGGGTTCCCAATCATGATGACCACCATCTGATGCTACAAGAGGATCCAAATTTGTCACTATCTCAAAGGTAGCTTTTTTAAAACAATGTTTGTCCTTGTATGGTTTGATTCAAGCAATACATAGAGATATCACTCAAGTTATGCTTAACAACAATCAATAATTGTCTGCATGTTGAGTGCAAAAACCGTAGTCCACCAAGGTCATCACTATTGAATGAAATGGATATTGATGGGGGAGAGTGGTGCCTGCCATTGGGTCATGTCCTGCTCAAGCGGGTTACATTCTTCCCTTTGCTGTGCGTTTCATCTGATGGTGATAACTGCAGCAATACTATGGTTTTCCACATCCATTGTGCTATAGTATTCATTCACCCAAATTATCCACCCCAAAACTGGAAAAACAGTTTGTGGCTTGATCGGTGAATATGACTCTCATGTGTATTGCTGCCTTGTTGTGTAGGGATATGGAATACCCCCAAGATGGCACTATCTCAACTCTCTCAAGTTTCTCTGGAAGTGGCAGGCAGATGTGTTGGGTATATGTAGCCTTTAAAGGCCTTATGAGTGTGTATTGAAATACTTTTATAGTGAAACATAAACTCACTAGGAGTGTGGTCCATCGAAGACCATACTAAGCGAATAATGTTTGCTTATACCGAACTTTGTTTATCGATCTAGGCCAGTCGGTTGGAAAACTCAAAGTACTTGGGAATAAAGAATTAACCGAGGAGGGTTTTGGGTTAACCCTTGATGAAGTCGGAGCTTATGCCTAGATGAGAGAGCCGAGGGACTGTGTGACCCTTGTGTGTGATGGTAGGTCTACTGAGACGGGGGCCAAAACCTCATCCATGTTCCATCACAAGGCATGCATAATCATAGATCATTCGGGAAAGCCAGATATCCACCTTTAGGTAAAGCGCATGCATGTGACAACCATAGAGCTGTGGCTGCATCAGATCGTGGTGACATTTACTCGTCTCTAGGGGAGGACTTGTAATCCATAGACTGAGATTCCAACCTCTTGATTCATCGACCTGACTTTGGTGACCCGCTAATGAGCCCCTATTTGGACTGTGGATCATGGGAAACACTAGGTCAATTTGATAAAGCAAATGTGGTCTGTAGTGCACAATTGGAGGTGGAGTATCCCATATTTACAGATTGAATTCCTAAAACCATATGGATCCCTTTCCCATCATATTAATTTAATTGTGTTTATCTTATTATTAAAATGAATTTAGTTTTATTATCTGAATTTTTATGAATCTCTAAATATTTTATTTGTAATTTTTGGTTTTATAAAAATACAGTTATTGATTTTACAGAGTGATAAAAAATTCAAATATATTTTAATTCGTTTTAATTTAATTTTCATACTTTTAATAAAATTATATGGGGCCCCAAAGTGCATGTGGGCCCACCATGTGGCATGTGGGTGGGGGCCCACATGTGCCACAAAAGGGTGGCACGCCCTACCCTCTTTGGATTCTCTTGTTTGCTTTATGTTCAAGTTTTTAAGTTAAGATAAGTTTGATTTGTGGCATGTGGTCAAATCTTGGAAGGGAAATATTGACCATGGCTTTATTTGTTTTATAGCAAGTTTGTTTTAAAGAGATATGATCAATTTGAATAAATAATAAATATTGACCTTATCTTATTTATATTTGGTAGTATTTATTTACTTAATAATATTTGACATATCTTTATGGAATATATGAGATGGATCATACAATTTTATGGAATGCATGATATTTATTTTATTGGGAAAATGGTTTAAGGAAAGGGGGATAATGGTCATAGCACCTTCCATAATATTGATGGCCCATCTATTGAATGGATGACTCAGATCTCTCACTGCACAAGTCACATTGATCAACAGTCTAGATTCAATCTCATGAAAGAAGCAAACTATGGGAAAACCCTAAGAAACCCTAAACCTAAATAAACACTATAAATAGGGGTGCTCTTCCCCAATCTCTACACACACAACCTCTCTTCTCTCTTCTCACCTCTCTCTCTCTACTAGAGAGACACACCTCACTCTCTCTCCTCCATCTTTTTCTCTCTAATTTCTCTCTCTAAATTTTAGGTGATACTCTCTCTCCTCTCTAGACTTAAGTTAATTTTGGGGGTTAAAGTTTTAGTGGAGATTTTAAGGGGTGGTTACCTAGTTTGGCTGAAATCAGCTATCCCGATTCGAGATTGAAGCTAAACTACAGATCTCGTGCCATTGGATGTGGTGACTCGGTGTGGGGTATAAAAGGCCCGGTTGAGATAATCTCTGGCTTTTTTTCATTTATTTGTTAGTTCTTTTATTTTATATTCTCAAGTAGAGTATTAGGTTGTATAAATGGCATCAAATAGTTGAGATTTATTTTATCGATGTGTTATTTATTTTTGAAATTTCTATTATTTGTAATAAGACCATCTGTGAGTAATCTTGTTGCCAAAATTATAAGGGGTAATTATTATTAAAAAAAATTGTATTTTACCGACAAAAGATCACATAGGTCTTCCTTTCATCAGTATCAGATCTAGTTTTACTTGATTGCCATTAGGAGTCTTTTCTTATTTTTGCTTGAGAATAGAAATATACGGCTGCTCATACCTTCATCTCTGAGATCCTGAAAACCGAAAGGTTTGATGGGACCAACTTTGCTTCATGGAAAAGAAAAATCAAATTTGTGCTCTATGAAGAAAACTTGCATGAGGTATTCTTTGAGGACAGACCTCGTCTTCCAACTGACGACTCATCTCAAATAATCAAAGATGAGTACTCCAATTAGAAGAGGAGGAACTTGAGATGCAAGAACATTCTTTTATGTGTCATGACTGACTCGTGTGCTTCTAAGTACGAGTCAATTTATACTGTAAATGAGATATTTGATAAACTTGAAAGGGAGTATGCTGAACCCTCTCTCATGAAGCAAACTATGGTTATGAGAAAGTATAATGATTTAAAAATGGTAGAAGGTACCAAGTTTGCAGATCATGTGCGCTAGTTAGAGATTTGGAAGATACAGGCATGAAGCACAATGAATCTATGCAAGTGATTCATTTAATGAATTATCTTCCTAATTCATAGGAGACTTTCATATCTTCCTTCTCTACTATAAGAAAGGCACCAAGATTGGAGGAACTCATCACGACCATCAAATCTGAAGAAGAAAGGAGGAGTTCAAGGCAAACCCTAAGGGATGCTGTGCATAT